TGGGTAGTCGGTTGCTTCCTCGCCTTCGTCGATCTCACGACCGAACTCAGTGAGGCTCTCTTCAAGGAAGATACGGTCGGATGCGTTCTGAGCGTTTAGTCGCTCAAGAAAGGACGTGAAGTTGGTGCGCACCATGAAGCAGATTGATATGTATGGATAATATGGCGGATACGACAAATCCAACCGACATTAATCTGATTGGTCGATGCAATAAAAAGTAATGGACCTTCGAATATTGATCCAAGAAGTAGAGGGGATACCCCCTCTACTTTTGGTCCGCCGGGTTTCCCCATTGGGCATGGACCCTCGGACGGTGTACCGTCGGAGGGACTCACAAAACAAGGGTACCGCTCATTGCAATTACATCGTAGCCCCGAGTTCAATCCCCGCCGAAGCCACAATTCAATTGTATGTAATTCAAAGTTCATTCACAAAATATTCAACCGCTTCTTGCGTCTAACCTCGTGAAGTACCTACCTTCGCGTAGGAACTTGTGAACCCTTGATATGAGGCGTCGAACTGTTGGTAAGTTTGGTACCTGTTAAACTCCTTGCCTAGTGTAAGACGTTCGAAGTACTTCTTCCTGTCCATGCGAATCATTTCCTTTGTATAGTCCTTGAGGGCACACACAAGACCAATTGCAGGGTCTGCAACAACCCATTGCTGCCATGCCTCCAGTGCCGACCGAGCCGTTGGTACTGACTTCTGAGCCACAAACTGATCCATCGAACTCTGTCGCGTAGGCGCCGAAGTTCGCACACTGCTGAAGAAACTTTGGCGATGCAAGTTCTTGGCCAACACCAGGGCAAGATCGTCAACAGAGAACCCCAAGCCAACCGGAGCGCTTGCACTCCCGTTTTGCCATTGACTGTGGCTGGCGTCACTTCCGGTACGAAGTAGATTCCTGGGGTCGATCTCGTTGCGGATACTATGAGTGATGAGGTACTCACAGCATGTCTTTGCATCGGCCCAACGACACCAAGCCATCAACTCGCGGAAGTTGAAGTGTCGCTCTTTAGATTCGAAGACGCGAAAAAACGCTCCACCCTGTCGAAGACTGTGCAGGGAAAAGCTTATTGGAAGGCTTGGGGTGCGCTCAACGACGTCACCAAGAACTCGCCGAAGGTTGGCTTGTTCGAGGCCCCGGTTCCAATCAACTCTTGGAACACCAGAGTCCATGTTGTGTTGTTTGTTGTACTTTTGAAGACCAATGATGTGCGTGTGGCGGCATCCTGGGCTGGGTTCGGTGTTAAACCCAGTGCACCAAAGTATGCGACAAGAGCCGACTTCGCCAAATCTATGGTGCGTGCCGCATGTCCTTGTGTGTACTAGTGATGAAAGAAGTCTGTGCACTCCTCAGTGCCCGCTCCACGAGGGTCAGTCCCGCTCTTGGTCGTTTGAAGAAACGCAATGAACTGATTCTGATATGTTTCGTAGGCGCGCCTCGTTGACGCCCCGAATGCCGATGCCATTTTGAAGTTTCGTTTCGACGTTCCTGGCGTCCTAAAGCTCGCCCACCTGTTTGGAGTTCCTGGTGTGCTCATAACAACCGGCGCGGATCGATGTGTCGCGGCTGAGGCGCTTTGCATCATGCTCTACCGTTTGTCCTACCCTCGCCGCTACATTGACATGGTGGATCTGTTCGGCCGATCTCGGGAGTCTCTTTGCCGAATATTCAACGACATGGTGGATTTGTTGGTTTCAAAATGGAACAACGTACTCTACTTCTGCACTAACATCGTGGCACCTCGTATCGCGCAGTACCAATCGGCAATTGTGGCAAAAGGTTCCCCTGTCTCCACGTGTTTTGGCTTTATCGACGGTTCAAAAATTCAAACGTGCCGAATCAAACAAACTCAACGCTGGGCGGACCATCCTGATCTGCAACGACATATATACAGCGGTCACAAACGAATGCATTGTCTAAATTTTCAGGGCGTCACTGCACCTGATGGCTTGTGTGTACACTTTTGGGGTCCAATTGTTGTTAGTCGTCATGACACGACTTTGCTCATGGAAAGTAACCTGGTGGAATTTCTGGATGATCGCAAAGACGTGTTTGCTGGTGCCCTCATTTATGGTGATCCCGCGTATGGAATTCTACCATGGATCATGTCTGGCTACAAAGGGGAAAACATCAGCGCTAAACAGCGCGCATTCAATTCCGCCATGAGCCGCGTTTTCTGTCGTGGAGTGGTCATTTGGCCGAATGAAGACATTGTGGCCGTTCATCACGTACAAATTGCAGCAAAAAATCATGCTCCAAAATGTGGGGAAGATCGTTTGTCTCTCCATGTTTTTGACAAATTGCAATTGTTGCTACAACAGGGGAAATCAAATTAGCATGTACTTTGGACTTGAACCTCCTACTCTCGAAGAATACCTGTCATAACAGTACAACAGTCATGTGACTTAAACCTTGTATTTGGTAAAACTCAACTTAACAAGTTCCATCATATCTGAATGTCTATTGAGGTCTAGCTCACGCATTTCTGCGCGCTCCTTGCGGGCGAGAGCTTTTTCGTCGATTTCGGCCTGGAGCTTCATCATTTTGTACTCCACAAATCAATTTCAGCCTGCTGCATGTCAGCTAGTGACTTTTTCTTTGTCGACGAAGATCCATCTTCCTCGGGGTCGATGCTCTTGCGCTTGGAGGAGCGTTGCATGGCTTCATCGCGTATCATCGATGTCGCCGACTCGACCTTCTCGCGTTCAGCAACATGACTCGCCTACTTTTCGACTTTGATGGACGTATGGTCATCGACCAATGCAACGAGGTCATCGAGCAGCTGGGTCTTCTCGTTCTCCTCCTGATTGCTACCTGACATGAACTTGGACTTCGCCTGGAACTTACGGTGGGCCTCAACAAGCAAACCGAACCGTTGGGCGGCCTTCTTTCCGTCGAGGGTTTTGCGACCAAACCCGTCAATCTGGAGGACACGGGCTGCAGTCGCGTCCCAAGACTTCATCTTGTTTTTTGCGGCCAAGAATGGACGATCGTTGTTGGTTTGGATCAGGAGGAGCAAGTCGTCATCGTCAGTCCACCATTACTTGGTGTGACCTTCGGCACCAGACAGCTCCAAGTCGGAACCCCAACAAGCGAAACATCTCCCGTGCTCATCCTGCGTGTCCACAAGACGGGTGGAAAAGTCGGAATCCTCAAACTTGGAACATTTCAGATTCTGGTACTGTATTTTGAAGGTTTCTCTAGATATATCACTGCTCGCAGGTTTTTCTAGAGAAAAAGAAAAATTGGGGACTCCGAAATCTGTCAAATATTTGATCAACATCGCACATATAGATTGAGATAGTTCGTCAATATGCGTCCATTTGATCAAGACCTGCACACGAACATCAATGACTGTCTATAGGGCGACATCGAAATCATGGGAATGAACTATTTTCTATTGGTACCGCTAAAACCCTCGATAACATTCCTCACAGGGCTGGGACAACGCAATTCACCGCAAGGCATCAACATGGTCCTAAAAATAGCTTCACCGCCTTCATGTGCAGAAGTTCTCGGACCAGACGTACATCGAGGAGTGCCTTCATGACTACGGCGAGCTCGCGAATGAGATTAACGACCTGGCCTCCAATGACAATCCTGTCATCGACAAAGTCATGGAAGAGGTAGTGCGACGTTCAAAACCATTACAAACTCGACTTTGGATGAGTTTGACACGTTCTTGCATCCCCTCTGAGCCCATCGTTGATAACAATAACCGACTTGTCGATCATTCGTGCAAGGAGTTGCTAAGGACGCAGCCCGCTCGGCGTTGGACAGGTTTGATGTCGCCGGCACTGTCGATTTAAAGCATGTCATGAGCGACAGTGTACGGATTACACTCATATGTCCAATTTTCCTGGTGGAGTAACATACTGGACCGTCTTAGAACATACTAGTAATGCAGTATTACATGAGATTTTATAGAAACATGACATATCACGGTACAGTGATCCCGCAACGTTTGCACTTTTTTCCAATATAAACTTTTCCAGGATGACAACGGTACAAAGAACAAAGAACACACAAAGATTGATTTTTAAGGGCAACTGGATAGGGGCATCAGTCAGTTGAGCAAACGCTGAATTGAATGGCCAAAGCTGGCATTGGTGTGGACAGTTTGATCCTCAGGGGTGACAAAAGGTACGATTCCGGTGTGGGCTCAACAGTTCCGAATCGTAGTTGACGTAACACAATTCCAATGCCGCCTTGTCAAAAGGCCCCCAAGAACTTTATATTAAGTTATTTTTCACGGGGTATAAATTTATTCCAGGATGCAAACGTTGCGGGATCAGTATATTTGGTGGCTCCATTGTTAGACACACTACGTACTGTACGTATACATATTTCACGCGACGAAAAAATGTACAGAAAATATTACCCTTCTGATATTGCGAACACTATACGCCGACTTGTAGTATACAAACGTTCGCTGTAGAGAAGGTAGCACTTGTATTGTGTGCAAGACTAATGCGCAATCCAATTATCGACAAAAGCAATCAATTGATGAAATACGGTGAATGAACAAATTGATTTTGACGTAGATGGCCAGCTTATGATGCATTCCGCTGAGGTCCTTCACTAGAACGTCCACATCTTTTCCCTCAGACCTCCAATTTGAATTTCCAAATGTGACAATGGAAAGACGATACTCTATCGACAAACAATAAATAATAAATCCGAAGGGTTTGAAAACATCTTCGACGGACAAAATTTGAAAATTTCAAGCAGACGGCACCAAAAATCGATGGACAGTCTATGGTGCATCTTTTTACTTGACATTTGTATCTTGATTTGTTTTTTGTGGTTAGGGTATAATTTTTCGACGGTTAAGTATATATTTTGGTCACTATATTCAACTTTGGTGTTATCCGTTGGCTTTTGCCGCATTTTTGAACTTGTCGTTACGCGAAGAACACAAAGTAAGGTTCATTGCATTGGCGCACTACTACGCGAAGCACACAAAGTTAGGTTCATTGCATTGGTGCACTAATACTGTAGATCGTTTTACCTAGGCATTCACGGACTTGGAAAAAATTCCAACCAAGATCGAAACATATCCTCATTCAAAAATCGTTTTGGAGATTGAGATTTGAGCATTCGAATTACTGCATTCAGCACATAAAACGTCTTCAATCATGTCGCCAGGCAGAAAAAGGAAGGAGGTAAAATGTTTCCTGGAGCACTTCCACAAGCAACAACTGAAAGATGTTTCGGTGGGATCATTCGCCCAAGCGTTAGGAGACCCTTTCGTAAAAATTGCCGACACTGACTTACGGCGGGACGCATTGCTGTTTCGTCCATGTTGTATATGCGGCTATGGGTTAAATCGTGCTTCGCGATAATATAGCGCATGGATTCGAACAGTCTTGTGACCTTAGCCTCGTCGACAGCATTGCATGCACGTGTAATGTCGCGCGCGATCAACGTAGGGAGGCGCTGGTACCCGTCAGAGTGTGAGCCCAGCGGGCGATGCAGGAGTTGGTTGGCTTTCACGAGGATAGCATGACGTGAACTGGATGGCTGTCTTCTTGCGTACCTCCGATACACGCAACGTGGTTGGCCTCGCAATCAATTGGTAGAGTCGGCATTGGGCCTCGGTGTCATGCTCTCTGTCGCGTCTCGGCTTTTGTTTCCCGCACCTTGCGCACCAACGTTTCTTGTAGGGTATCTAGGTGGTCGCAGAGATAATTGCAATATAATACTGATCTCCCCCCCCGACTTGAACACGGGGTAAACTAAATACTCTCTATGAATTAATAATATAAATTCCTCCAGGAATATTTAAAGTTTTCAAACATCAATGTACTTTTGATCTTCATCACTTCAAAATGAAACAGCGGATGACACTGGCCGACAAGAGCGACTTGTTCGCGCAGCACATGCAAAAAACTACAATGAATTGGCAAAGTGGGCAGCACAAACGTTCGCACTCGCGACAACTCCAACAAAATCTGCCATTGGAAAGGCCCTTAAACGCGGTGCAACACAAACACAACGCGTCGACAACAAGGCACGGTACATTGATATTGCAGGTGAATCTCCTGAGCTCGAAACCGAACTTCTCCAATGGGTCCTACGCTGTGAGTAACTTGGCGTATGCCTAACAGGAGAGCTCATACGAGAACAAGTAACCTCAATTGCCGCCCGCCTCAATCTGCCCCCAACGCAGTGCTCGTCCTACTCGAAAGGATGGCTGTATTAGTTTCAGCGCAAACATGGCCTGACAAGCAAAATACAACATGGAGAAGCTGCATCAACTCCACGGCGTGCCGTGCAACAAGGCTGCGAAGAAGTACGACGCACTATGAGTGGCTACAGCCCTGCGAACGTGTACAACATGGATGAGACTGCGTACCTCTACTGTCTGTCGCCACACCGTTCCATAACGCGCAACCGTGTGTCAGAAACGAAAAACTAAAAAAGAGGGTAACCGTTGCTCTTACCACGAATGCCGACGGCTCCGATGTTGTTGACCCCTTGTTCATCGGGACAGCCATGCAGCCAAGGTGCTTCAATGGTCGAACTGCCCAAGACCTTGGTTTTGACTACCAGTCGAGTAAAAAGACCTGGATGACGTCGGAGGTCTTTAGTACGTCCCTGAAATCCATGTACGATCGAATGGTTCGGAAGGGCGCAAGATGCTGCTGCTTGTGGACAACGCTCCCTGGAATGATCGTGAAGCTGGTGAAGGTTTGTTAAATTTTCCGTTGTGGATACTTCCAAAGAATACAACGGCGTACCTGTAGCCTCAGGATGCGGGCATTATTGCCTCGTTCAAGGGGAAAGTCAAGAAGCGGCAACTGAAGAACGCCTTGGACCAGATTGACTCGGTGATGGCAGGGCGCCATGACAGGCTCTACGAAGTACCGTTAGCTGTAGCTTGGGCGTGGGCGCGGGATGCATTGCGCTCTGTGCCGTCGTCGACAGTTGCCAACTGTTGGCGACGTACCGGAATTCTGGACTGTGACTTGTCAGAGTTCAGCGATCGAATGGCTGCAGTTCATATGAATTGATGTGGCAAAAAGAGATACTTTTAAAACGAATAACCTTTTGAGTTGATGTACTGTGAATAATTTATATCATTTGCCGTGTCCAAGTCGGGGTGAGATCAGTACATTAATCGAATGCGATAATCATAACAATTGAATACATTGATCAATACCTTTAAATACCGTCCAAATATTGTATCGATATCTGAAGTATCACTGAAAGATGAGCAACATGTCGAAAGGAACCCAGCAGCTTACCATTTTGACAAGAACACATAGCAGCCAACTGTCATTCTCAACGACGCTAAAGACAACACCAAAGAAAATGCAATAATATAAGCAGGTTTAAGACGAAAATGTTGTGTTGGTGGCATATTGAAAATTGATGAAATATGTGCTGCATCCTATTTATACTACGAGTAGAGATGCAGAGACAAGGCATTTCTTGACATGTCATCAAAAGAGAAAATATTGTGTACAGTCATGGACACTTCAAAACGATGGTGTATGACTTGTGTCGATGTACTCGATTTTTGGCTGTCAAAATCAATAATCTGTTCTCCAGTTCTCGAATATTGAGATTTTTTTTACTTCGTGTGTTCCATAAAGGTGGAGACCATTTTGTCAAAGTATCACTTCTCCAGCAGTTACCACCACAACTTGCTGAAATTGTACTCGATTGTAGCCAATTAAATGACGAATTTACGGATATACTTAGAACTATTAATTGGTTCTCACATCACAATCCAGTGCCAATGTTTTGAGCACACCACAGCCAATCTTTAAACACCTGTAACTCCGTCATTTCTTGTCTAATTGAGTTCCAATCAAGCGCAAACGACTCGTTTCGTTGTGTAAATATTGCTAACGCCCTACAGAACCCCGAAAATTTCATTGGGAGATGTTATGAAAGAAGCTGGTTTCCACGGGGTTTCGGGTTTCAGGGTTTCGGGGACCAAAAACGACATAC